CTGGTGCTCTTTTTTTACCTTACAGGCGACGCTTCAAGTCAAAATCCTTGTGGTAGTGCTTTTACTACACAAACGTTTTGCAAGTTGGAGAGAAATCACCATACGTGGAATGAAAACACACAATATCAATCTTCACTGTCCCAAATCCAAACTTTTTGGTCACTGACTTCCTTAAAACATCTCTGAAGGAATTATAGTATCTGTCTGAAATAGGCCGAAAATTGGTTATATTACAGAAATGAAGCTATCAGTTTCTTTTAACGTATAGGCTTAAGTGTTGCCATTAGTTTCCCTAATAATCCTTTTCTACTAGATACTATAACTACATCTGAAATCATAAGTAACAGTAAACAACAACAACTAATACCCATTAGAAAAGAGTTGACTATAGAAGCGATATATTTGGAATTCGAGTCTCGATGGAAACATTATTAGACTGTGCGGCTGAAGCAATATAAGGTGAAACTTTAATCCTGTACTCCACTGAGAGCCGGCACCAAGCAAACAACACAAACTATAGAGTCTGATCCACTTATGTTGATCCTGTCGTGCAAACCTGTATGTTATACCTATTACACATCAAGAGAGTATGGTTTGCCGGATAAAATTGTAACTTTAACTGTGAAAAGAACACAACTAAACAGTAAAATAGGTCAGTGATAACACCTAAAACTAATTTAGACAAAGGGAGAGTTTTACAACTCAATCTTTGTTCACTGTATAGATACCGATAATTCAGTATTTGATATATTAATATATATATATATATATATATATGAATTTTTACTGTTTTCACAACCAAGGAAAGGAAAGGAGTGGGCTCATAAAAACATGTTTTAAGGTCATATAGTGTCACAGTTGACGACGTAATTGGCGAGCAAGAAACAAACTGAGGAGTTATGATTCTAGGAAGTTGTATTTATATATATGTCTTATCCCATTGACAAAGGCTGGTTTAGTGCTGTGTGAGTTATATAACTTTTTCTCTTCGACCAAATAGCCACCATATGTCACCTTATTAAGGTCTTATTTACAAAAACAGTTTTATTACCACACTTATTCTTTAATTTTAAAAAAGTATCAGTACCTCTAGATTATTTTTATCATAGGTGTTGAAAAACACTTTGATAAATTTCTGCCATTATAAATGACAGACTGATTACGTCACTAGACAGTCAACTAAATATATAAGAGAGGGATTCCGTTGAAATGTAATAAAAGAAATGTGAATAGCATTTTCTTTTCATTGCTTTATTTATTTGTTTAATTGAAATGCTAATAACTGTAAAAACTGAATTAAAACAATATAGGCCTTTGAGATATCTACTGCTATATTAAAGGGACCTTATACTCAAAAATATGATTTTTAACAGGTAAAAACTAGCAAAAGAAATCAGGAAACAAGTTGAATTGATTGAATTAGCAAAACATTTTCACCTACTATTTAAATTATCCTAATATTGAATATTTTCATTTCATTTGATTATTCTTCAGTCTTTGATGAACAGATGTATGCAGCGCTATTCTGGCTCACCTTGTGGGTACAGAACACAAGATTGACGTTAATCAGGCTTTCAGGGTCATTTACCGCATACCTACGAATCTCAATTTCGCTTTAAGAGTTCGACTTCTAAATATTGCTGAGGCTGTAGGGATCCATATTAATAAGCCTAATTTATGCACCCAAAAGAAGTTTGCTCAGTCATTATCATTACCTTGGCCATCCAGGTTTGAATAATCCAGAATTTTTGTGAAATTTCCCTAATTTTAGTTGATATTCTATTCGCTATTATATCTTTATTATTATTATAATTTAAGCATCTTTAATGAACTATAATTGCATTGATCATAATTTACAAATCGATATTATTTAAAAAACGCTAATATTGTTATTAACTACTAATTTAAAATATTCTGTGTATAGAAACATATATATAATTGTAGAGCCTGGAAGAGGAATTTATCGGAAAAAATATTCTTTGCTCGATTATTTTGTGTTTTATAGATGTCTGAATGAATATTTTTGCATAAATTCGCAAAAAGAAATTAATATTTCTTAACTGTGAAGTTAGAATTTTTTATAAGTTTACATGACGCTCAAGAGAATGAGTAAAACGACAGAAATCTAGCCAGTCCTCATAGGTAAAGCAGGCGGTAACGAAAAGACCGTTATTGATATAAGGATAAAACTTGGCCACTGTGGTAGAGTATAATTCCATTATGGGAAAAATTTTATTTTGATAAAATCATACAGTGTTATACAATAAAGTTATTTGAATACCTAGATATGATTGTGAGCAGTAGTTTGTGCTCGAGACGTTATCAGTAAATATTACTTTATAACACCGTGTGATTTTATCGAAATAAAATTTCATCCATAATGTCTTATTTATTATTATTTTATTTTACTCCTTCACGTTCACAGTGGAACATAAGGCTACAAGCTAGAGCTTTGAAGTTTCTCTGGCAGTGGTATTTATCTTTACGAGATGCAGTTGCTAGCCTCTTGCCTAACCTTCCCTCTTTACCAGTCTTATTACTAGCTTAGCTAGGTAAAGGAGTGCGTCGGCTAGGGATCGAAACCTGGATCACACGCGTGGTTGGCGAGCATCCTACCGCTGTACCACCGGCGCACATTTATCTGTAATGAAAAGACCGTTATTTTGTAACCGCATACTTATGCTAAATCTTGATTTGTTAACCACTTTATATTTTAACACTTAGAAGTGGTACTTAACTAGTAGTAAATAAAGGTTTGTTAATTATTTGCATGTTATCGTGTGAAAGTTTTATGTATATATGTGGCTTGTAAATTACTTTATATATATAAGGACTGAAACATTTAAACTACTTTATAAATTTCAACAACTCATTGAGGAAACTAAGATTATCTGACATACGCTGCGCTTAAGGAAGAATTTCCTAAGACGTCATATATATAATTACACCAAGGCTGATAGATGATTTATTTTCATCTGCGGAAGATTCGGGTTATCTGACTTGTATGAAATTTGAGACCATAGAACAAAATACACTAAATTTATTGTATTTTGAAACTGATTTCTGTACGAAAGAAAAAAGGTATTTGAAAATTACTAGAATATATCAGCATAGCATTAGGTGTGGAAGAAAATATTTGTTTCGAATCATTGTTCCCAAAGATTTGGCAGACTGATTGACTTGTGATGACACTTTTTATTCTGAAGGTTTCAACTTATTCGATGTGTTAAAATAACTCTCTAGAGTTTACATTACTTTGGTCATACAATAAACACTTAAAATTAATTTTACATAAGAGCTTAGAACCTGGTGTGGAAACTAAGTAAAGTCACAAATCACACCACAGTTTATAACTTAATAAACTTAATAAAAGTTTGTATATAGAGCAAATTTAAATTGTCACTGTGATTGCATCCATATACTTAGAACAGTGAGGTATGGACTTAAATTAAACGGATAAGAATATTAACTGAAAACATTTTTTAATCCAATAATTACAAAAAATTGTTCAAATTTGATAAGAAATTGGATGTTTACAGTTAGATTCAGACTGTTTTTGACATTTTCAACCTTATGCTAAGTTAATCTTCGAAGGAAAATTTTTGTGTCTGAATAATTAAGCGTGGATGAACACGTTGAACTAAGTAAATAATTCTGTGTGTTCATTTACTCATCATACAGATATTTTTGTATGTCATCATACTTATATGTGCGCATGAATACCAGTTAAACTGTGTCAACGAAATTGAGTAGGAGTGTGTGTATGTTAAATTCCCTCATTTGAAATGTATCTTTTGAACGAGAAAAATTGAATGCTATAACAAATATGAAAATGAATGACGCAGATTTAATATTATTATTATTCCCTTGGGTTCGAAGCAGAACATATGGCTTCAACAGCACATCTCCACTTTGCTCAATTTTTGATTTGATTTGATTTTGATTATAGCTTGAAACCACACAGCATTTTCGGTACAAGTATGGAATTTTCAGCATGTGATATCCGTAACCCAAATTTTGCAGGCCGACCATTGATATCAGGTGTGCGCCGACAGGTGGTCGAACCCCGGACCATGTGCATGGCCAGCGAGAGTCCTAACTTCTGTGCTACCGACGCAGCTGTCCTCTTCAACTGGGTCCACGATTGCCCATAATATCTCATCTCCTCCTCACACGATCTCTTCCATGTCATCATCGCACCAATCACCCACTTGTCGTTTCCTATTAGGATTCCGCTAGAGCAATCGCCTGCACTGCGCGTGATGTCATTCGATGCCCTCTTCAAGATTTGCCCAATCCATATTCATTTTCTCTTACGTATTCGTCAAGTAATCGGCTATTGATTGGTTTGTTCCCAACCAGAGTTTCTTGATACAAATTATTTCTGACCCATCATTTGATCTTCAGTATGGAGTCAGACAAGTGGGCAGCTGTTGATAAAAGTCTGTAATTTGTTGGAAATTCTTTTAGTGACACGCAATGCAAGTTCCTGACTCGTATAGAATAACTGACCGACTAACTTAACATTTGTATTGAAAATCCGACTCTTGTTCTTCATGCTGCGGAGTGCAGAAGATTTCCAAACTGGCTTCAGGTTGATGTGGAAGTATCTTGACTTCCCAATTCTGGCTGGTTGGCCTTGACGTCTTCATCCGTTCCGCTGGCCTGTAGTTGAAACCATGCTGGTTGCCTAGATAAGTGAAGGAGGTAACCTCTGTTAAATCTCTCCCACTGGTGGTGATTGATACTAGTTGTTGTTGCTACTGTTGGTTGCTTGTTTATCTTCATCACCTCCGTCTTTTCTATGTTCACCTGTAATCCTGTCTTCGCTGCCAGCCTCTTCAGCCAGTTTGTTGGCTGAAGTCTGCAACCTGTTAGAAATCCATTTCGTGACACGTCAAGATTAAATTTAGACATGATAAATTTCATTATTATTATTATCATTATTATAAGAATTGCTATAAAATGATATTAAATAGTTAATTAAATCCCTTATTTACCTTATACTCTTCCTTCAATCGGTTCATATCTATCAGCTTTTTAACTTCACCTTTAACTACTCCTTGGTTAGACAGTGTAGCATCTTCTTCCATTGGTGTTGTTATTGTATCATCTAAATTATCAAATAACTGTGTTGTTGTCAGTAATGACGGTGACAGAGAAATCAATCGTAATTTCTCCATTTCTGATATCATTTCCTGTTCAATTACGTGAAAATTATTATTTGCATTAGTATTACCATCATTCTCATTAAAATTATTATTCACACATGGATCATACATATTACTTAGAATACTTGATGAAGATGACGATGATATTGATTCCTTGATACACTCTTTTTTTACAGCTTTATTACCAAGAATTAATGTATCATGATTAATAAGATCAGACTGATGGTCAGTTGATTTCATAATGAATTTAGAAGTTGATGATATTGACTGATTTTTACCAGATGTTGAATGATGCCGATGATGATGTTCAACAGAGACATGATGAGTTGAATCAATGCTATAGTCTTTTTGTTGTTGTTTCTCTTGATACTGTTGTAGTAAGTGTGAGTTTTCAGCATTTTGAAAGGGAGAAATTGGTGTAGACTGTGAACGATTTGCACCATCTTTACGTACAGCAGGAACTCCTGGTGATATACTATGCTCTTGAAAATGCACGCGATGAACTTGAACTCTTGATGTGGCTAAAACAATTAGAAGAAGCCAATGTAATAACTACAAACAAATGACCACAGTCTCCAATAAGTTGTATTTATTTTATTTACTTATAAAACCATAATCGAATCTGTTATAGTATTTCAAGAATAATCAACTATTCACACTAGTGTTAAAAGAAAGAACAAACCGTCGAGCACACAAAAACATGGACTAAGTTTTTGACGACGATGACCACATCTTTGCTTTAGATTAAACTGTCGATAAAACAGACAGCCTTATTAATGGAATAATAACCCTAATACACTTACAAAAAAGAATGCGTATTTAACTACAGCTATGTTTGAAAGCATATTTTATTCATTAGGATGACATTTTTTCGTTGGTTATTATTATTGTATCCTTTAATTCCTACAGGAACATAGGGCTTCAGCCGTGCGTCTCCATTGCGTTCTGTTCTCTGCTAGAGTCTTCACCTAGCTCCAAGTCTGCCCACACGTTTTCATCTCCTCTCCACATGACCTCCTCCAAGTCACCCTTGCACTGACGACCAACTCGCCGCTTCCCATTCTATCGGGTTCCACTCGAGCGATGGCTTGTCTAATGATGTCTTTTGATGGTTTCCTCAGAGTATGGCCAATCCATCTCCATTTCTTCCTGCCTATTTGTTTCACAATCGGTTCCTGGTTGGTTCGCTCCCAGAGATCCTTATTGCTGATCTTTTCTGGTCATCTGATCTTGAGTATTGAGCGAAGACAACTGTTAATGAAGGTCTGTAGTTTGTTTGAGATGCTCTTTATGACGCGCCAAGTCTCTGACCCGTATAGTAGCACTGACTTCACATTGGGGTTGAAAATCCGGATCTTATTTTTGATGCTGAGTGTTGTTGACCTCCACACAGACTTGAGAGTGGTGAAAGCTTGTCTTGCTTTTCCGATTCTTGCTTTGATATCCTCGTCAGTTCCGTCCGCCTGTAGTTGAAACAATGCTTCCAAGGTAGGTAAAGGAAGGTTGTTTCCTTCAGGTTCCTCCCATTTATGCTGATAGTTGTCAGTTGTTGTTGTTGCTGTTGGTGGTGTTGCCCCGGAATTTTCATCACCTCTGTTTTATCTATGTTCACCTGAAGTCCTATCTTTGATGCTTCTTCTGCTAACTTGTTGCTTTTCGTTTGCATGTCTTCCAGTTTGTGGGAAATCAGACATATATCATCGGCGAAGTCCAGATCCTCCAAGTTTTTTGGAGGATCGTTGATATTTCATGCATATATAATAAACAAAGAAACAACTGATGGAACTTATTCTTTTCTGTTTTGTATGTATTCATTTGGCAACTTTGCTTGAAACTAGCACATTTCCTGGTATCGATGAATTAAATTTCAAATAGTTGTTGAATTACGTTGATTTCATCAACTATATACTAAATGTTTCGTCATCCTTACATGAATTTAATATGTAACATAATTTACTACAATAAGAGGAAGCTAACTACATAATAACATTATTATAAATGAAATTTTCGCTAAGTTGTTACAATTTTCACGATAAAAATTTATTTTGATACAATACCAAATGCGCTACATACGTATTATTTTAGTTGAGTGCTTCAATATAAAGTACGATAAAACATCATAGGTGAAGGTACAATAGTTATAAATTGATTACAAAATGGACTAAACATACGAATTTATTTGATTTTAGGAACAAACCTTCTTTGATTTAAAAGCTGAAATCAAAACATTTAATTTTGTAGCCTCATAATTCAAATTACGAAGAAATTTCTAAAACATCTTTGATTACCTGATATCATTCATGAACTTTATACTATGTGTTAACTATGATTAACCATGCTTAACTGCTTTAAAATCTTCAAAGATATCGAAGACACCTAACTACATGGACTGGTATATTTTTATTCTACACGAATTTCTTCCAATTGAATAAGCCTGAAATAACCAAAATTCTAGTCTCTGGGTTAATAAAACATTTTAACCCACAAATCTTAGGGAGGCGCATTAACCGTCAGGTAAGAAATAGGTGTTACATGACAAGAAATACCATCTAGACCCTCAAGCCATAATAAATCGGGTGACATGCTGAGTGAAATTCGACCTCTTAAATCACTTAATCACAGCTTTTCTGACATTTTAGAGGGATGTATTTAATTTGAGAAAGAAACATGCATTTATTTACCCGAACCAATTGACAGTTTTTCGGACTTCCGTACTTCATAATTGCGAAGTGACCTGTCTGTTCCGCAACCAGGAGTTGAGGCTTCCACAGCTTCTGGTAGATCCCAATAAACTCTTGAATGCTCTGAAACATTTCCCGATGTGTCACTAAAAATATTATCAGTAAGCAAACTCCGTGTTACGTTTCATCAGTTGGCAATTTTCCACCGAGGAAAAAGCTTGCATCACTAGTTGAACGCTTCCAACTGGAGTTTTCGTCTTCTGTTGACAGATATTTTGAGTAATCAAAGATTTGTTCACGAAATTCGTTGTTTCGTGATGTAGTGCTTTGTGAGTTCATTCTGCATCAAAATTGAAGCATGAAGAGGAGTTCGTATTAGAAAAACAAAATGTAGGGGCTTGTAGATATCAGTAATTTCAAACCTTTTTCAAATGACATTATATTAATGTTCCCAGTGGTATTATTATCGATAGACAAAATATAGAGGGACAACATCAATGTTAAGTCTAACCAGTTCTAGCCACTTACTGGAGCCAAAACAAATAAGCTACTTTTCTAAGAGCACTTGCGAAATCAATAAGCTGAGACAAAAATCTGAGGGTGTAAAGGGAATTGCACTCCATTCATTTCATGTGCCAATGGTCTCATACTGTTATAGTTATGTATCATTACTTGTGGAGACGTTTTACATGCATCTTCTAATCGATATAACATCAAAAGTAAGTGCCTACCTCTTTATAGTACTTTACGTGTGAGAAACTTGATGTATCGTACTCGTATGGAAAAGCCACAAAATATTTCATGCACAAACGATCGCGTATTTTGGTGATCTTCAAAGATCTTTTCCCCATTGGCAATCTTATACACAGAGAGTTGAACTATTTATTCTTCTGATTTTAAAACGTGTTCCTAAGTCCTGTTAGTTACTGTGCTACCGCAAAATAAAATTTGGTTATGTACTTAAAAGTAATTTATTTTTTACACCATATGGAAGTATATACTGCCCATGAAATGTCATACAACAGGCAACTCACAACACTTTCATGCCTGAGCAAGAATCAATGGCTTAACAGTAGTTATACCAAGTATGTAAGTATGTGCGTAGCGATAGCTGAAATAAGTAAAAGGAATACTTCGCTAAGTGTAGCAATTACAAGCCTTTTAGTCTCAGATTTATACTTAGAAAGTTGGTGATACTTAAAAAATTTCAAACGACCAAGATGTTAAACAAATTTATATTCAGGAAGCTTTTAATCTTCTTGATCTGTGAATCCTGCATAGCGAAGGTCAAAGTAAGCATTCAGACGTCTCATTGCAGGTAAGATAAGAGAATACAGAAAGTTATTAAAAACAGTCGGAAAGGCTGTGTAATATATTTCATTTACGTAAAGAGTAGAGTTACTAAAATGACATATATCCTCATGCATTTCTGAATTGTGCGATATATGGAAATGTCACCTGAATTATGAGGCTAGAAGACATCCTGAGATATGCTGTAAGTCACTGTGTTCTGTACATGTTAATATTCAAAATGCTGGCTTTATTCTATTAAAAAGGCTTGTTATCTACCAAGCAGTACGCTAATTCATGTTTAAATGCTTAAAATATTTTGAAGTTTGTATTACCGAGGTCGAAGTTCAAGTAATCCTTTGGTAGAACCCCTTCCGGAATCACCGGTACTACTTTCCCGTCTCTACTAGCATTTCTTTTGAGGTCCAAATTTGATTATTGCGTCCAAACAGCCACCCCCTGACTCAAAAATGACACCCATATTCGGAAGAGTCCGAAAGAAGGGCTATGTTGTCGATAATTAGAGTGACTAATTCATTATATGAGAGACAACAAATCAGGCTGCATTTCTTCGTATCATACGGTGGACTGAGAAGGAATGTTTTCATAAGGAATGATAACAGATTTTTCTTCTCATCAGGTTGAAAGCACTTATATGATAAGAGAACACAGAAGTACATAAAAGTCAAGGGCGAACTATGTCGGTGCGGGACATTATTTCTCGTAGAACCAACCTTCAGAGCTAATGACCTGACCCAGGAAAGATCAAGACAAACATAGGTGCTTAATAAAAAAGGAATGTAACAACATTCAAGTTATCAAATGTTAAGCTAAACCCTCTACCTGGACCCTGAAAAACCGTCTTATATTCCCGTAATCGCAAATAAGGTTCACACATCAAGTGTTAAATTGTTCAATAATATTGTTCTTTGCAAGCTATTAAGTCAAATAAACCTGTCTTTTGACCTAATAAAAAGCTAGACAGGAACAGATAACAGTGGTACTTAGACAAAGTCACTTATGCAGTCAGGAATATCTGTTTGATAGCAAAGATCCTACGGGTATACATGCTCGCTTCCTTGGATATTAATAAATAGAAAATTCATAGAAATATCACTTAAGCAAGAAAAAAGTGCTCACTAGGTTATTCCTTTGAAATTAAACTCTGAACCTCATTTTGGTTAATTCAGCTTAATCGGAAAACAGAAGTCTTGAAAACTTTGGAAGCAAACTGGCCAGAAACCAAGTATTTCATTGCGCTAAGCATACGCAAATAAAGACTGTTGCAACGGACAAGAGACTAAGAAGACTTCATTCAGCTCAACCACTTTCCGCATCAAACCAGCAGTGTAATTTCAGAAAATTAACCTTCATGATGAATGAATTCAAAGGCTCAGTTAGATATAACTATATTGCACATGCTTCCACATTCCTGTGTAGTGGTAGTGAACATCAACACCCTAAGCCTCGAAACTTGCAATATACATCGCCAATACAATTATGCATTAACCTAAATATCAGGGATTTCACGTTGTAAGCTGACTGAAATTAGCTCTTCACAAATACTTAAACCCTGAAATATGAACATTAACAATTCACCTATGCGAATGCTACATATGAGTCACAGTCAACTGAAATGCATTCTTATAACTCATACAGTGATGTGAAGATATATTATGCTTACCTCAACTCATTGAATAAATGGAAATAATACCCCCATACAAAAAGAATAATCTGCAGATGATTGGACACCCAGAAACTCCACACACTTTTATTTCCACCACCTAAAAGTAGATATATGTTTGTTCACTGTTTCAATGGTGAGTAACTATTGAGCAGCTTAAGAAAGTCAGACAGCTGTGGATTGAGTTTGATACTGAAGAGTGTTTTCTTTCATTTCTTAATACCAAAAATGATAATTCTGATGTAAGAGAACTTAAATAACGAGAGATTAGCTCTGTAAGGAGGATTTCCATCAAATATTATGTGGCTAAACTATTGATTAAGGAAAGTGGATGTATGAAATTTAGATAGGTTATTAAGTTCAAGCGAAAGATATTATGCCTGTGTACGTTCAAAGTAATTCAAGATATTTTAATTTTTGGTGTACATGTTTTATTCCTGTTTTGTTCTCGGTATGTAGAAATACGCATCCTCTCTCAAATCAGTAACCCTTACTTAAGTTAGTGAAATAACTTTCATTAATGTCGGCCTGAAATTTAGATAAATTTTTTACTTGAGTTGAAATATGCAATAAGGGGATCTTAACTTTGCCGAGGTAGTTGAAATTAAACCTCCTAATTCATACACATCTACAATTGCTGTGACAACGTCTGCATGTTTTTCTGTGACCTTTCTGTAGGTCGCTGTTTCAGATACTCACTTACAAAATTTGATGCTAGCGACTCCATTTCAAGTCCAGATATTCGTCTTTTAAATTAGTAACTTCGAGAGAATGTAGAAAACTTTAACTCAGACGTATGTTGAATGTGGAAAATGAAATTAAGTTGATTTTTGCGCTGAATTTTCTTACTGAGATTATTTGTGGTTTTCACATAGTTATACATTAATAAGCTTCCTGATGTTATTAGATTTCCGAAGCAATTTTACAGTGATTGTAAATGAACTGAGCAAAACTCATATTTGTTGAAGTGAACTTGCTAAAATACATGTCTTAATTCAAATACGTAGGAGTAATGTCGCAGTTTAACATAAGTAGTCCGCAAATTTTTCCGTATCCTGATCAAAACGAGTGCCTGAAAACAGAAATCCATAAATGCGCAGATGACTGAAATTTTAAGCACTCTCTTACTGTCTATTAGAATTATGATGATTTTTATCTTTGGTATTTTTTTTACAGTCGTTGAGTCATGCGGTTAGGAACCATAAGAGAAGATTCACTAGGCATGTATTTCGTTACCGATATCTCATTTAACTGCCAAAATATACATATATATTTACTGGTTCGTTTTTATTTAGCAGAAAACTAATTATCATTTTCATTTCCTTATCGATAGCTTATGAGACATCGAAGCACACATGAGGGTTCGCTAAGGGCTGTTTGAGAGTAAGGTGACTGGGCATCTACGGTGAGGATATTTTAGGAAAGTTAGTTGCTTACATTACATGAAGGCTAGCGAACTTAATAACCTGTTGTTCCTAAGGGGAAATGACGTCATTTGTCCTTTCGTAGCTTAAGTCTTGGTCACGCAACCAGCTTAGTCCTTACCTGGCGAGTCTCGCTGTTCTTGCCTGTCTCCGAATGTCGTCATCAACTATCGGAACTAAAATGATATGCTTCTTCTTGTTCAATTATATGTTTAGATGGCTGGAATAATAACGAATTACAGTCGCCACTTTCCTGTTCCTTGCAATGCTAATCGTCTGCATTGCTTTTCCACTGACTTTGCTGGTGAAGATAAGCAAACTATTCACGAAGGATAAATTATCCAGAGGTTCCCTGGCACATAACACTTTTTGCACCTCATATGATGTTAGATTATATTGTTAACTGCTTTTGTTGGTCACTGTCTCCAACCAAGTTTTCAGGTATGACTCCCTATAGGCTCCTCCCGGTTTGAATTCTCCCTGTCGTGACACGGGTGGGTAGGATTAAGGCTTAAGTTATCACTTCCTTAACCACGTGATGAAAGTCTGTTGTCCAGGATGTACTGTTTGAGTGGCTGTTACCTGGACAACCCAATCCTTAGCCGGACGCAACTGACCTAATGTCAGAAATCCCAACCTCTCGACAAGGCTAATGAGGCTTTTTCCGTCTGACTTCCTACCAGCTGTTCATCACTCTCAGAACATCTTTCATCCAAAGTTTGTTGTGTTCTAGAAAGCCAGTTAGTTACTCCGCTCGTACAGCTTCAAGCTCAATTTCTGGTTGGCTTCAACTAGATATAACGCTTACGATTATTTTGTAGCCATCTATCCAGTTAAACATGCTTCATGGCCACACTACCCGCTGTTACTTTAGCCTGAACTATCTGACCTGGTAACTAAGTACGACTCCTCACACTTAATGGTCAACTGAAACATTCACCATGGACATTATCGAAGTTCCACTGTAAGGAAAAAATATGTTGATGAATGGTTCTTACGGATAGCCAAAGGAGAAAATAACAAGCGACGACTTTACACAGCGACTTTCAGTTTAATGTAGCATGCTCTTACTACTGACGGTCAGATAGCAAGCATTAACCATATAAAATGCCAGCGTCTTAAACAGTGACTAAACAAAGAAAAATAATAAGGATATCTTTGAGAGGACTCAGTCTTGTGAAAATATGGCCCTGATTGAATATTAAGGTTCAGGAATTAGGACGAAGATCCAGTCAAAGAAGGGAGACTCTGTTGGTTTGTAGACTTCAGATTAATTTTTCAGGTAGTCATACTTTTGTAATATGAGAGCTGTTAATGTTGCTAGCAAGTAAATTACTATAAGCGTTGATCAGCACCATTCATGAAATACATCTCGATGATATTTGATATTGCACTTCGTTGTGAGTAATGAAAGTCGCTATCTTATTTGAAGTCTGTGGGATTCAGAAATTTGTTTCACAGAAGTAAACCTATATGGCCTATGTATTCGTAACATCACCTGGTACACTGACTGTTAAATTGATGTTCCAAAGCCATCCAGGATTATTGTTGTGGTAGTGGGTTTCCGTTTCCTACACTCCTTTGGAGAACTAGCTATTGAATAGGCATTAAACTGATCTCATACGTGCGGGAAAGAACTAAAGTTGATTTTCACTTGCTTCGATAGGATTTTGGTTTATTTTAATTCTCTTGTGTTTAGTTTGATAGCATTACTTCACGTCCTTAATTTTGCTCTCACATATACTGCTTACCTTGTAGGGTGCAAATTTATTGTTATTTTGTATCATTTGATCGGTTTGAAAAAGACTTTAAATCAGAAATGTTTATAGAAAAATGCGGTTTCTTTGAGTTCACCAGTAAGATGTTTACGAGTGAGGCTATGTTCTATGACGATGTGTTTTCGCGTATTGTATGGGTTGTCGCGTTCACGCATATAGAGACGTTCTAATCGCTCAGTATTGCGAAAATAGATTATATTTGACTAGTTTTAGGCTTCTGTAGCCGAAAAATGCAATATTTTTCTGCATTGTGTTCGTAGTAATGCGCAAAATTGTCATGGTAGCCTAGACGAATTACTAATAAAAAAGTCATCATTTTGAAGAAATATCGCATAAAAAGTCTATTATTAGGGTTTTAGAGCATTGAGGCATTGCTTTTAGTAAGTTGTTTCAGATCTTAAAGGTTGTAAATTAACTGCAGACAATGGCTCTTGTCATCCCAGTTATTCTATGAGAATCGTGCATTTGAAAGAGAAATAGCCTACAGACATAAGTTAGATGTGTGTTTTGAGGATGTTAGACACTTCTCTTATCATCTGCGATGACTGAAATATTCCATAGCACGTGGAAGAGATCATGCGATGAATGAGACAGGCTGCTGCATTTCCTGGTGATTATATCTACTTTGATGAAGTTCCCATTTAAAATTGCTTAGACAAAGACATGATACTAGTTAAATTGACATTTGCACTAGGAAGAAGGCTTTAATTGTTCATTGTCAAAAATGGCATCAGATTATGTTTATATCAGTGTGCATCGGGTCACGAAGAATAGTGTAGGTGGTCCTCATGAAATGTCAGACTACTTAAAATTAGTATTAACTTTCTGTCGATTAGTAGCTAGGAGGTGTGTCCTACAAATACTGCACCTGTTACATAAGTTATCCCAGTCTTAACAATTGCTCGTGTTCATATCACTAAGATATTCCGAGATCCTTAATGAATTACTTGTGGCTATGAAGGATATGGAAGAAGCACTTATGGCTCATATGTTTAAATCATTTATTATGAAAGAAGTTATCTGTAGGGATTTTGTGATGTTCAGGTTACAATGCTTGAGGGTATGTAGTGACTGCATGCTTCTGTGCGTGAAGGAAAAGTTGGTTAAAATGAAGATGTGATGAAGTTTTCTGTACAGTGCTCATTGTGAATGGTTTACAAGTTAACCCTTATTATTTGCTTGCTGCTATACTGTATAAGACAAACAATCTCTGTGTGACATTAAAAACTACAGAAGAATGCTGTCATCACCAAAGAATGAAAAAGGAAAATGAAACTTTTTCAGTAAAGGTGTGCAAATATAAAGCGTTTAACTTTAATATTACTTCTTCCTTACTTCAGCGATTCAAAACCATTCACTTTGTTCACTTATTTACAGATATCCGGTAATGTCAGTCAACTTGGTCACAGCAATTCAACATGGGCGAAATAATTACGAAAAACAATTGTGTAAAGACATTTGCTTATTTTTTTCATTAAATAGATTTAACATTCTGCTTACAATACTTTTCTTATTCTATCTGAGTGAAACTAAGTTTTTTAGCATGACGATGCAGATGTCAGACTTATCAATGATACCTGATGATTTATTTGACCGCATAATTAAACGTAAGCGAAATGTTACTACGACCGCTACAGCTCAACCTACTTATTTATTCGTTATGTGTAAACTTAATTTTACAGTATACGTTAACACCCGTTATCATAGGGACTGCCATAACGCTTTAATTTAAATATTAGTAATACACTGATTTGGGATCAACCTAACCGTATACGAACTGGAACTGCAGTGCAGTGCCTAAGCTCTGGCGGCAATTCGAAGGATTTGTTACTTTTTCGCCTGTTATTTCTTAGTTCTTTTTTACTCTATAGGCGGCTTTTCAATAGGTCTCTCGAGGATAGTACTAAATATTTAGTCCTATTTTTTCATTAAAGATAACTTTTCCGGCTGTAATTGTCCATTATAGCTAGTGTCTACTTAAGTGCTTCTGTTATCGCATCTTTGCATTTATAGTATTTGTTAAACGTGTCTTCATACTATATTCCAGTATTTTTATCCACATAAACTGCTAATTGCGTACTGAACTAAACAATCTAAATCTCCAACACCCTAAAAAGGACCTTACAGACACATTGCTCATTCTCTTATATTTAAGAAGTTTAACTCTTTTCTAAATGCCAATGGTTGAAACTAAGCGTCAAACTCCACTGTCTGTTTCAAATCCCAGTAAAAAACACAAACCGAATAGAATGAATAGGCCTGCAGGAAGTGTGAAGACTACATCCAATGATTTAACAAATAAACACATGTCTGCTGCAGTAGATACGTTAAGTCCGGACGTTGAATTTCCCTTACCTGCTTGCGTATTAAACAACATCATGGATGGTATACATAGTGATACTACATGCAATGATCCAGGCCTCGCAGACACCTGCAAAACGTCTTGCGAAATGAATTACACGGCAAACATCTTGACTCCTAGCATTAATCCAGTTTCTTGTTCTACACCTTGTTGTGAAGATAAAATCGCAGAATTATTTTCCATTATTAGGGGGCTTGAAGTTAACATATCAAAACTGGCAGTACCTAGTGAAACCGACAGTAATGGTACTTCACCTAGTAAGTTACCACAAACCGCAAACCTGATAAACTACGTTGCAACTGAAGTATATCAACGTGTAGTGCGCGAGAAGAACATAATCGTGTATAATATACCGGATAATGCACAGATTAACAAGGTCAAAAGCACTATTCTGAATGCGTGCTCTATGAATAACGTCTCGTGCAGCTGCCATCGACTTAGAAAGTCTCATAAAAATAAATCTTGCCCACTTGTGTTGAAATTTGACTCGTCCTCTAATGCTGACATCTTTTACAGTAGGCAAACACTACTGAAAAATACACGTTACCATACGATTAAATTAGCTCGTGACAAGACACCGATCCAAAGAATGACTTATTCTAAAACTGTAAATCCCAGCTCCTCTACAACACCCCTGGGCACCCACACCTCTGTTGAGGCAGAGCAAAAGGGTGTGGATCTTTCTATACAAAGCACACCGTATTCGGAAACGAACTTGCCTGAAAATATAAGGTCAAAAAATAGTTCAGTGTATAGCCGAACACTAAGAAAGAAATCGACCGTAGATTTAGATTCCTCTGATAACAATCCCTGTACCCCAGTGACAAACTGCAGTACATCAAACCCAGTATTCACCAATTCAAGTAGTCTTAATTCCAGGAAGTTGAAGAATGCAGCTACCAGTTCGTCTACAAAGACAACGCAGAATAAGAGACTAGTGTCACACACTAATTCACATGCTGACAGCTCGATACCACACCTCTCTCCAGAAACAAATATCCACAAAACCAATAGGTACAAAAACCGCAAAACAGAACCCGAACCTCGTAGCTACCTGTTCAAAAAAGTAAACCCTCGCACCAATACAAACCAAAACATTGATACACTTAACTATAGGAAGTCGAATAGTGGTGACGTAAATCGCAACAATTCGAATAAGTTGAGCTTGCTTGGTAGGCCACCTCCACCTATTTACATGCCTACACCCAACAGGGCTGACTACCCACCGATCAACAGTTTTGTTGAAACGACATTATCATTTTTTATACAGGTTCACAACATGACCTCAAACATACTACAAATGCTCACCACTCTCCACAGGTTTCGCCCCCCAATATAGATATGACAGCTGATACAGCAATGTCTAATTACTGCCTGGAGCTCACCTTACATGACTCCGGTAATTCCCTTCTTCTCCTTCAACAACCCTCTGTCTCCTTTTCTTCTGACAGCAAATCTTCTTTACGCCCAAACTTACATGAAAACGAAAATTTAATTCACCCCCTCTGCACTTCTAGCTTTCCTAGGGCATCTACAGGCATAGACATTTCATTGTCGTCTGAGGACACTATGATTGAATCTCACCACCAGCTACTTCAAGACATAGCTAAAATCCTAAGATATGACTCGGCTAATCCTAACATAGTTCTTATCAATGCCAGGTCAGCTGCAAACAAGATGGCATACATCCAATCCCTGCTACTGATTAGCCAACCTACAGCACTATTGATCACTGAAGCTTGGTGTACAAGTGAAATAAATGATGATTTCTTTCACTGTGAAGGCTACTCATTTTTCAGGAAGAACAGATCAGTTGGGCGGGGTGGAGGATGCATTATCTATGTTAAATCTGACTGCAGAGCTGTGCACTACGATGACCCTAACCTTAATATATGCGATACATTATGGGTGACACTCTACATAAATAAACAGCAAACTCTGTTATTAGGTTGCATCTATCGCCCACCCAACCATGACAGTGAACTGCTAAGTGAAATAACTGCAGCTTTTCATTACACTTCGAAATTAAACTTTACTTATAAAGTGATCGGAGGGGATTTTAACATGCCTGAAGTTTCATGGGAGCCCATCAGTGCTCCTCCTCGCTACAGCAAATTCTTAGATGCTGTTGAGTTATGTGGGTGGACACAAAGTATTCTAAGGCCCACCCGAAACCACAATATACTGGACTTGGTTTTCTTGAAAGACATTGCCTTATCCACCATAGACATCAGCCACCCATTTCCTGGTAGTGACCACAACACAATAATCTGCGCCCTCGATACCAAGCTTCACTCATCAAAATGCTTCACCCTGCGCAAGACATTCATGTGCTTCGGAAAAGCTAGGTGGGATGTATTTCACTCCTTCATTAGAAGCTTAGACTGGGACCTTTTCTTTTCTAGTAGCAACCTAGACACTATCCTAATAGCCTTTTACCAGAATGTAACTATATGCTTTGATAAACTTGTTCCTAAATGTAAAGAGAGCCCAAGACAAAACATAAAGAATTTCATTCCTATAAAAGTAAAGGCTAAGCTGCGAAAGCTGCACCGACATTACTACAAAGAAAATGACTTCTCGTGTCTTGTAAATATACAGAACATTTATCTCAGATTGAAAGAAAATAACGACAACATTCTACTCA